TAGCGTCTTCCAGCCAAGGATCTCAGTTTTACATCAAGTAATGAACGAACCATGAGATGGGTTAGTGTGTTTCACAGCTTGGGAAACTGAGACACAGAGGTGAAACAACCTGTCCCAAGGTCACACGAAGGTTAATAGCACAGCCAAGAGCAGACCCCTAATCTCCTGCAACCCTAGACTGTGCACTGGCCCCCAGACCACCCAGGGTCACAGTGGCTAAGCACCCAGAGAGATTCCACTAGGAACAAGATTTAATTGGAAAGGCAGAGTTAATTTAGCTAAAGGTGACAAAATCCATTATGATTATCTGGAATAATTACATGGGAAATATGTTTGGTTGGTCTTCACCCAGCAAGGGAGGCACTGCCTGAGACCTGCCATCAGCTACATCTGGCCCACCCCTTCTCAGCACAGATGCCCATTCTCGCCAAGGTCTGCTTGCCTGAGATGTGCAGTTGTTGAAGTAAGGAGAGCGCAGCAGGCACCTCCCAGCAGCATTCCCACTCTGATTGCCACTAGGTCAGAGAGAATCAGAAGTTCCACACACACCGGGAGCTGCAGATGGGTTGAAAGGTGGCAAGCATGGATGGGTACCAGGGGCTGAGCCTATCTCTCAGTCATGTTTCAAAAGTGGCCATCGCCTGATTAATGATTCACTTTTTCCTTCTCCTAAAGGAAGCTAAATGCACATAGTAAGGTGACAATATTTTCATTTGAAACATGGTGTGATGCTGCATGAAGAAGGCAGGCAAGATGGGCTGCGAGCTCCCATCACTCTCTTTGAGTTGTAGTTCCCTTTGAAAAGGTTTCTGAGACCCTGTGCATGGAGGACAGTTGTTATGGTAACCGTAATATCTTACAATTCCACTGATTAAACAGGAATTGGAAAGCCGGGCCCAGAGTGGAGCCAGATGGAGGCCTGATTCCCTAATGAACATCGTCTCCGACGGACCATAATCCCCATCATGTGTCCAGCATGCAGACAGCATCCCACTGCAAAATAGACCTGGCACTGCCTGGCCATAAAAAGAATGTGCAGCGCCTGCTATACAGACTGTGGGCCCAATCCTGATCTCACTTACAGCAGGGTATTTCCACTGAAATCAATATGTAACTGAGCTCAAAGTCAAGGCTTCTGTGCATGGGGCATGCACACCCACGCCATCATCAGCATTAAACAATCATAGTCTACTAAGGGCCATTGTACTAGCCAGAGTGACCACGGTTGATGGGGTTGCACCAGGCATTACATAGTGAAGTTCCCAGATCTGGCTCAATCCTGCAAATCCACAATTCTCTTGGATAGCCCATGGGCGGAGCTAGGTAAAGTCAGGGCGTGCACCCCTTTGCATGTCGATGGAGAGTTTGAGAGCACGGTGTGCTGTGCTGATTTTGTGCATCCTATCAACCTGGTCAAAGAGCACGAAACACCTGTTTTGAATGTAATGAGTGACTGCAGAAAAGCCAGATCTCTGCGACATTATGCTCATACGCCGTGCCTAATGCTTATTTACGACTCAGGCCCTTTTACACTGCTCTGGCAGTGACTGTAAATGTCATTTATGACTACTTTAAAGGCACGTTACACTGTCAGACTGATGTAAAGTGGCTTTTTTGTAAATGAGAATCAGGTCCTCACTCTTTACACTTAAAGAGACAGGCACAAAGGCTCTTTCTGCATAGGAAAATCTAACCTCTACGTTCCAAGTGCTGTCCGCAGACACACTGATCTCTCCGCAGCTTAGCCACTCTAACTGATGTGTTTCTGGCTCCTTTTGGAGTGATGGTACAGGCCACTCTCTCTGCCACTTGGTGAGAAAAGGAGCTTCAAGGGCAGTAATTTTCCTGTACAGCCTTTATGCAGGGATTCAAGCTGTGCTGTAAGTGCCAAGCCCAGAAAAACCAATTGCTGTGATCTAGTGTATCTACCGGCAGGTGGGGAGAGATTCAGGTGCAGCGCATATACATGGATGTGCAGCCCCCCTGAGGTGCAATACACACACCCCTCCTTTGCACACACACAAATCTACACCTTCCCCTTGGTATACACGCACACACACACTACCTCCACATTCCCAAGACACCTCAAGCTCTACCTCACACACACACACACACACACGCAAGGAAGCAGAGCAAACAGCATTGCCAAGGATAGTCTCCTCCAGAGGCTCAGAGATGGAGCAATATTTAAAGCCCAGCAAACTTTTTTTTCTTGACTGGAGGTAGTGACACAGCCTGTAAATGGCTCAGCGCCAAGTGATCTCCCAGCCTTTCACTGCGCCCTCATTAGGTGTTTCCGCTGTGCTGGGTGTCAAAGCTGAGAGGAAATGTCCCACGGGAAACAGGAAATAATGAATTTGCCACTAATTCAACACCGTGTGATATTAAAAGAAAATTACCAAGCACAGAGCCTGCTTGTATCCTTCTGATTTCCCACCTCCCTCTCCACTTCCCCCACCACCAGGAGTTCACACTCAGGGTCAGGGGAAGGGAAGCTGTATTGTCTGGAAACTGGAGCTGGGGATTTGAGCTGCTTTTTTCCTTCTCATAATAACAATATTTTCCCATCAAGTTTTGAAAGACAAATTATCCTGACAAGACCTTGCAGAGCCTCTGGCCCCCTGGTTTTCTCATGACAGGCAGCAAGTGTTGGGATGCACACGACAGGTCAGTGCTGTAATTGCAGGCTTCACTCAGCTCCACAGAAAGCTGACACCAGGGCTGTCGCCTGGACCAAGGCTTGCAGTGTTTACTGGGAAATGGAAAGCCAGCCACTTTCAGAAGTCTAAAGTCAGGCTAAAGATCCCCGACTTTGGGAATTTTACCACTGTCTTCAAAGGGAGCAGGATCAGTCCCTGTTTGTTCATGGGAGACAATGGGTTTGTGCCGCAGATTAATTAAAATAGTGCTGTTCGTTCTGGGGATCAGGACAAACTGGAAGGAATTCAGAGAAGAGCACCACAGTGATAAAGGGCTGGAGGGGCTGAGTTATGAGGAGAAATGAACAGCGCTAACCATGCAAGGCCGGGTTCCCAACTGCCATTCAGACGGGGCAGCATTTTACACCTGCTTTGCACAGGTGTAAATGACAACAAAAAGTGGAAGGCAGAGGAGAATGAAGCCAGTAGGTCTTGGCCAAAGGGTGGCATGAGAAAAGTCTACAGTCCTCGTTCTCCTCTCATTTACCTTAGTGTAATTCGGGAGCCGCCCACTGACATCAGTGGAGTTACATCTATATACAACTCGTGTAAGTGAAAGCAGAATCAGGCCCCACAAGATTTTTAAGGGTGTAAATACCAAGAAGGGGCTGGGATTTTGTAGGGTGATCCAGGGAGTCAGGACTCCTGCTGATGGGGTAAAATTAAGCAAAGGAACATGCAGAAAAGCATCCTGTCAGTGAGATTTATTAGGCCACAAAACAGTCTCCCAAGGGATGTGGAAGCATTTGGGGCACCTAGGCAACTGGACAAAGCACAGAAGTAGACTGTAGAGAGCAATCCTGACTGGGACGTGACCCATCTTCCACTTCTAATGTTCTATTATTCTAGAATTACATAGTCACTTAGCAGTTGCTCTACAACCAAGGCTACTGAGGGAGTTTTCTCCTCTTCCCTTAAAAAATTGCCATAAATTTAGTGCTTTGGAAAGCTGCTCACTTGCATTGACACAACTACTAATTGGTGTTTCCCAGACCCATGGCATCCATGAGTGTTTGCAAGTGTGACACCCATAGAAATGGCAACATGCCATCCCGGGGCACAGGAGGCAGTTGAGCTCAGACAGAGCACTCTGCAATGGCAGCAGACAAGGTAGACGGTAAAAATCTGCCAGCCAATCTGGCAGAGCTGAAGCCTTGCCAGCTCCCACTCATTCTGATTCACCCTCCGGCCCCCAGCCTCCCCACACAGAAGTCTGCCTCTGCTGCTCGTCAATCCATCACCCCCCTGACTGAACCCGAATTTAGCTCCAGTTTTCTAATTGTGGATTTTGGGTTATTTTCCATCACCTTCCTTGGTTAATTTCCAGACATTCTGTAGCTAATTTAATTTCTATTTCAAATGATGTCCAAAAAAGGGATCCAATTAAAATGCTGTTAGTAGATGGAATGACTCACCGAGAAAGGCAACAAACCAGAACATTTTTGTGAACTTGACAATGGGAGATTTCATCCCTCAACCGACGTTTGCCACAGTGAACGTCACCTCTGCAAGCAGAGTTATGCATGACACATGCCCACATGCTAGGGCACACATCTCTAACCAGTTGACTCCTCTACCCAGTGAATGCACCTGCCATGCAAACGTGTCCTGCACAATACTGTAGCTGGGACTCAAACCAAGAGCCTGTGATCTGTAAGCAGTGATTGTTGCAAGTGGGTTAAATGAGAGTGTCCTGATGGCTAATCTGTGACCTTATGAACTTCACACTGGAAAGAATTCAGGCCCTTCTGCTCTAATTTACAAGCCTCCTCACTTGAGCTCCAGGACACTGTCAGTTAGCTGTAGTTATAGCTCCATGGGACTCCAGCAAAGGGTGACATAGTCATACATGCTGGAGTAGGTCTAATGTTCCACCCAGTAGTGGGGACACAAACCCTAGTCATAAGGTGCTAGATTTTCTACTGAACTCATCACCGAGCAGCTCCGATGGAGAACAATGTGTAAATGTCAGCTTTCGACAATCTATCCTTGTGCTATGTTGAGTGAGTCTCAGCTGCGAGTTAGCGTCTTCTGGCAAAGCTGATCTGGTCTCAGTCAGGAGCCTGCTCCCCTTGGTAGGAGTCAAAACAATATAGTCTCCACTGAAAGTCACTGTGCAAGTCTTACACTTTCCAAATCAAGAAAGTGAAAGATTCTTGGTGCTGCTGGTTGCAATGAAGGATTGGAACTGTCTCTATAATTAGAGCCCAATGCCCTTCATCCATATTCCCCTCCACCACCTAGACACCCCATGTATTAATTAACTGCATGACAACATGATAGTTACTGATCACTTTGTACCTGATATTGTCAATGAGAAGTTGATGGGATTCTTTGGTGAGAATCATGGAAAGGGTGTAAGCCAAGTATTCCACCTTCCTCTCTGCCGCATACTGTTTCAAGATGGTGAAAACTTTCTCTTTTACCTCTGGCTGATCTCCGAGAATTTCGTCAGCCTGTGTGGGAGTGGGAGAAAGATACACATTAATAGAGGAAGAAACTGACATGAAACTCAATGGAAATAAATCCATCAGAAACACATACATAATTGTAATACCTGGACCAACACAAAAGAGAGGAAACAATTTACTTAAAAAACAATCAAACCCACCTGTTATCATCAAATGATTATGTTAGATGCTAGTGACACAAACTCAGGGCTCCCTAGGACAGGGGTCGGCAACGTTCGGCACGCGGCTCGCCAGGGTAAGCACCCTGGCGGGCCGGGCCAGTTTTATTTACCTGCTGACGTGGCAGGTTCGGCCGATCGCGGCCCCCACTGGCCGCGGTTCGCCGTCCCAGGCCAATGAGGGCGGCGAGAAGCGGCGCGGGCGAGGGATGTGCTGGCTGCGGCTTCTCGCTGCCCCCATTGGCTCGGGACGGCGAACCGCGGCCAGTGGGGGCCGCGATCGGCCGAACCTGCCGCGTCAGCAGGTAAATAAAACTGGTCAGGCCCGCCAGGGTGCTTACCCTGGCGAGCCGCGTGTCGAACATTGCCGACCCCTGCCTTAGGACTTCACAACTGTCCTTTATCACATGCGATGGCCAGTGAGAACTTTACAGCAACAGCAGGATTAGAAATTCTCCTACTTCAAAAGCACAGAACCCCACACATGAGCTCAAAGATAACCTTCAATTGCAGTGTAGGGCATGACACAGTTGAGCAGTTCTGATTCCATCCTAACCCTTTAATTACTGCTTGATTACACAGAGTGATATTTTCTTGCTATTAATTTCTTAAAATGCTGCAGAAAAATAGGAAATTTACCTTAGAGAAACTCTTGCCTTGGTGCAGAAAGTGGGAAGGGGCCATGTTAGCTCATAGTTCCCAACCACTGGGATGTATGCCACCGCTGGTACCTCAGACTTTTGTGACTGAGATTCCGAGCTCCCTTTCTCTGCCTTAATGAAGAGCCTTGATGCTAGTCTTCAGTGCATCTTGGCTAGCCTTCAATCACTCAGTTACACCTACTCTGACCCACAGCGGACCCTGGCAAGGGGGTCATGACCCTGAAAAATCCCATCTCTGACATATAAATAAACGGGAGGCATCAATAGGTACTGGCAGGTACAGCTAGGCTCAAGGTTACAGTTACCCTAAAAGATTGGAACCTGCTGTGTAAACTGGCTTTGGAGCCATCTGCTCACCCTGGAATTTATGACTTCAGAGAGTCTGCATTCTAGGCAAATGTTCTCCAGAAACAACAAATGCCAAGCAAGCAGAAAACTGGCTGAGATCCCCCCCTGCCCCAGTTCCTCTTTTGTTTGCTTTTCCATTGCTTAAAGGTTTTGTGGGCAGTGACTCCCAAATGCTGCAGGCATCTGACTTACTGGGGCAGGGCACTGCTAGGAAAGCTCTTAATCAGCTCCTGCCACCCCGTTACACTTACAAATACAGGTTGGAAATAGTAGCCAAAGAACTCATTCACTCTTTGCTCCTGAGTAACAAAGGGACCCGCACCTTTCCTTAGGTTGGGTTCTCTCCACTCCACAAAAATATCTAAAATGAGCAGAAAATAAAACCCATCGGAGAAGTGCCATGTGCTGGGTGACAGAGACCTTTACATAAGAAAAGGAAAAGGAGCTGTTGCCTCCTGGTCCTTGTTCCACTTTGAAAGTCTCCAAAGTCACTTCTCACAGGTGTTTCTAACCTACATCACAAACCACAAGGTACTTGCCAATTTGAAAAAGCCATCACGTGACAACTATTGAAATTCCCAGTAAGCAGCAGACATTTCAAGGTTATTAAATCTGGAGCAGTAAAGACAGCAGTTAGACAGCATACAGACTCACATGCTCCTTACTCTCAAGTGCCAGTGCAGTGTTTACAATGAACCTGGTATTTTCAGTGGGCCAGATCCTGAGGTCCTCCTGTTAAAGTTTTTTCTGAGTCAGGACTTCAGGATTTAGCCCAAAAGAAATGATACAGACAATCATATAATGAAAATTCTGGGCCAGAATCCTGGATGCCCTCTGGCTGCTGCAGCCATAAATCCAGCCATCTAGCGAGTTAAAAATTCCCCTGCCTAGAAGAATCCTTGGGGTGGAGCACAGCTACCAAAGCATCTCCTACACCACACCCTCCAGCTACTTTCCCCTCTCCTGTCCTCCCGACGCAGGGAGGTGACTCGGGAAAAGAGATTGTCAGGGCATCTCTAGGTCCCTGCAATTCTCAGCTCTAGAGTGGCCCCTGGGGCAATGGTCAACTGGGTGTAAAGTAGCACAGCTGGCTTGGCAGCCGTAAGAGGGAACTCTCTGTGTTTATGCACAGAGCAAACACAGGATGGGCAGTGGCAGGACAAGCTGCCCTTCCTTTGCCTTACTGAGGCACATAAATATGACCTGAAGGGGCTACGACTAGGGATAAGAGATGTTTAGTCTCCGTGGTCCGTTCAGTCCTTGACTGCCCACAAGGGGGCCTAATGGTGCAAACAGTATCATCTACCACTGGGAAGGGGACTGGGACCAGTCATCTCATTCATTATTCAGCAGCCACCAATCACTTGGGCTCAGTTTACATTGTAAATTCTTCAGGCCAGGGACTGTCTTTTTCATTGTTATGATTGTCTGTATGGTGCCTGGCACACCCCTGGGTGCTCAGTGAATAACAACAGGAGAGGGTGACCTGGAACTGAAAGCCTAAGTATCATTATTATGTCCTGACAAAGTCCCACCCCACCTCACCATTCAGACAAAGAACAACAAGCGAGGAGGCCAGAACCCCATCTCTGGGTCCACGCTTCCCCTCAACTTCTGTAGCTCCCTTTGGAGTGGGCCAGACTGGAACATTAAGTCCAATAACACACAAGGAACAGATCCTGGATCAGTGATTTAGACACTGAGAATGTTTGGATGCAGATTTCGAGCCCCTAGGTCAGGGGTAGGCCAGTGAGGGTTTGGATTCATGCCCACAGCATAGCCAGCCATGACAATAATATCAATATTGGCACGTGAGTCACCCAGCCCCCTCCATGAGTGCTGATAGCCCACGGAATCAAATAAGATAATGATCTAGTGCTCAGTGTAGGAAAAGCCTTCTGCACCTCAGGTTCACACAGCAGAGAACCCAGTGCTACCACAAGCACCCTTAAACCTTTTAGCACGTGACCAGAGCCTGGACCCCAGTGATGTTGTGAGGTGAGCTACTAGTGCATTCTGGGTAATAACATGCAGATGAGCTTCCCAAGCATTCCCTCTGGCTTTTTGGCTTTTTCTATCCAGTTCTACCACCAGCAGCTCTAACTGAAGCAGCGTTTACCGATAAAGGATGGAGGGAAGCACTCTATTGGGTTTTATTATTTTCTGCAGCTTGTTGAAAATTAGGCTACTTAAAACATCAGAGCCATTACAGTCTCATTCCTGAAACCAGCAACCCACAAAGCTCTACACACTCATTTCCTCTCAAACCCTCTGGGGAACAAGAGGCTGGATGAGCTGGTACAGAAACAAAGTGTGTGGAGGGGTTACTGCTTGCAAGCAGTGCAGATTGATTTAAGTTACATAGAGATGCAGCAACCACACCTACATGGCTAAATCCAACTCCACTTCCATGAATGGTCCCATTGACCTTACAGGCACACGTTGCATGAGGAAGAACCTTTCCAAAATCATTAATGTGCTTGCTTCCTAAATTTTAATGACAATCATCCAAGAAACATTTACTGTGATTTAATCCAGTTGCATTAGACAGTGTAAAATAGACCAACACCTTCATCCATTTGTTAATCCTCAATAATCAGGAGGTATCTGTCTAACATGCAGTGGGACTGCCTTTGGAATCATAAATTAAATGCATATTTGTGAGCCCTTAATTTAAAGCTTGACTGAAGAGTGAGATTCAGCTGATCCTGACACATCTCTTTACTAATGTCTTGGTGTTTATCAGCTTGGGATCAACAAACACAACCCGGTTATTTCATAACAGTATTTTAAAAGGTTACTTTGAAATGGAAAGTAGGAAGATTAAAGAAACAACCGTGATCAAATTTATAATTAGCAAGAGGTGATGAGTTTGGCAAATTACCCACCGGGTAACCATCAGGAACACAATGAAGCTGTAATTACTTTGATTTTTTTCCTTTGCTGCAAAATAAGAGCTATTTTTTTTAAGGCTGATATGATAAAACTCTAAATGAATATTTAGATTCTGAAGAGAAGGATATCTGGCCTTACAGATTATCGCTTGACAATAATTATGTTTTCATGGCGAAAAATTAATAATACTTGGCTCTTCTCTTCAGCCTTCCATCCAAAGATCTCAAAGCCCTTTGCAAACATTAATTCATTCTCACAATCCTCATCTGTAAAATGATGGTGAAACTGAGACACCGAAAGGGGAAGTGATTTGCCTATGGTCACCATCCGGTTGGTCAATGGCAGAGCTGCAAATAGAATCCAGGAGTCCTGATTCCACTCTCACTAACCCAAGTTTTATCCAAATGTAACTCTATTAGGGTCACACTAATTTACACAGTTATAAATGAGAACAAAATCTGGCACCAAGTCTCCTGACTCCCAAGTCTATGTTTTAACCACAAAACCATCTTGACAAATCAAGCTCCTCCCACAAGACCATCCCCCTTCTCCTTTTGAAAACATTTTTGGTAACTGAAAGAGAATGTCCCCAAAACTTGCCTCTGTGAACCCTTCCACTGCACAGATAGACTCCATGCATGGGAACATTCTCATTTCCATCTGGATCTGAGAGGCACATCCCTGATATTCAGACATTCAGAGAACCCACATCTCAAACTGAAGTCAATGGGAGATGGAAGAGCTAAGCCCAAAGTCAGCCCCCAACACTCTGCTTCGCACTGAAAATACTCTACACACCAGAAAAACGGTAGCAGGCAATGAGAGCCTAAGGCATAGCTGGGCTGCCAGGACTCTGCCTTCAGCAAAAAGTGGCAAGAGAAATACAGCTCCACAGGTTCCCTGTGACTTACATGGTGGAAGGGAAATAACAGGAAACGGCCAAGACACCGGGCAAGTCCTCCTTGTTTATGCATGAATATATAGGGTCCTGCCTCGACCAGGAAATAGCCGCAACCCACAGCCCCTGACCCAAATCACATCTGGCCCCCAATATTTGAGCACACCTGGGGTGACTGACAGATTTATATGGAAATCACATAAAACTCAATGACTTGAGTGGCGCTACCCTGATTTACACCGGCTGAGGATATGGCCTTTTGGTCTTTGCATTTTGTGAACAAACCCAATGCTCACGGTAAAACTCCAGGGGATTTGAATTCCTGAGACTAGAAGTGTCCCAGTTTCACTCAACTCAAACATCAGTGACCCCAATACATGAGAAAGGGGAAAACAAGGATCTATATTATCCAAATCTGCTAAGATGTCACTGGACAGATTCTGTTAGTAGAGCTCAATCATGAATAATACTTTGTGTGCTGACTCTGTGTGCACCCCTTCCTTGAGTGAAGAGCTCCACTAAATGCTCTAATAACAATCATCTATGAACACGTGGATCTGGCCATTTTTACCACAGCCTCCTCCCCTTCCCTGGCTTTAGCCAGACTCACAGTGCCCTGCCAGACAGCCATCTGGCCCTGCCCCCTGGGCTCTACCTTCTTGTTGAATTCCTGAGCCTTCTGTTTTCTCTCTTGGTGGATGGCGTCGGCGTTTTGGACGAATCCCCGTACACTGCTGCTGGTCCATCTCTGCACCCGCCCAAGCCGCAGCAGCCCCAGTCTCAGAGCCTTCCCTTGGCAGGAGCTGATCATGGCAGCTGCTGCTTCATAAAGCTTCACTGGGATCCCGTTGACTTCCAGCATGTAGTCTCCCGGTTTCATTCCACACTCAGAAGCAGGTGAATCTGGGGCTACGCTCTCCACTTGCAGGGAGTTGCCACTGCTACACATCAGGCTGAAACCAAACTTTCCATCCGGGCCAGGATTGATATCCATCTGCTGGATGCGTGAGACCACTCCAATGCTGGGAGGCACATTCTCACACTGCCTCGCCAGGTTGATGAGAGTCTCGCAGTTCATGGCGGAAACATGCTGGCCTTCTATCTCCAAGATCTGGTCTCCTGGCTGAAGACCAGCTACATAAGCGCTGCTGCCTTCTTCTACTGCAAGGATGTAGCAAGGACCATTTCCACTTATTTTAAACCCAAACTCTTCAGGCCACCCCTGATTGGTAGCCGGCATGGTTGTAACTGGAGAGGGAGGGAAGAAAAAAAGTTGTCAAATTGTTTCCCATACAGTAAGAACATTAGGTCCCCCTGATGTTATTTATATAGGATGCCCTCTGGTGGGAATTCTAGTCTGCTCTGTGTTCTCATCCCTTTGGAAAGAAAATGCCCATGATAGGGTGGGGAGAAGATCCTTTTTATCCCTCCCTACAAACTGCTCCTTATCCTTCTAGTCTAGTCCGTTTGTTTCCTTTGGAAGCAAACTAACTGTCTTTTACCCGTGTAGTGAAACCATCATTTCATATTCCTGGTAATGTCACCCTAAAAACCAGGTCACACAAATGACTCCAAATGGGTTACTATAACAAACAGTTCTCATTACACAATGACTGCAAACATATCTGTATTAGAATTTGCCAGATCCTCTAGATCCTGCTGGGATGAGCACTCACAGGCTTCACCTGGGGAAGGTGACATTGCACTCGCACCAGTCTGGCCAAGACCAGGTAAACTGCAACACCCTTTATGTGGTACTGACCTACTTTCAGCATAATGAAGGGTAAAGCCAGAATTTAAGAAGAAGATGTATGAAAGGCCTAATTCATGAGTAAGAACAAAGGATCTGATTCTGTGTCCACTGAAATCAATGGTGTGATGCTGGCAGGCCAGGTGCCAGCTCTTGCCCAGGCTGCAGGCATCAGCTAAGAACTGACAAACTCAGAACTGGAGACCAGACCAGTTCACTTATGTGTTGCTCAACATAGGAATTAGTCTTATAAGAATGTCGTTAGTGTTTAGAGTCTATAGAATGTTTGTATAATGCTGCATGCATTAATCTTATTTGTAATGTTTGTATTCCATGCTACAAGGAAATATGTAAGTTTTGCTTTACAACTTTGAAAATATTTGCTCTAAACTTGTGAACTCAGATGGGAAGGGTGTTTTCCCCCAGCCTGTCCAGAAGAACTATCGAAATCAGATGGGCCATCAAGGAACATTGCAATACAAATAATTGGTGAATGGCCCTATCGCACCTTGGGAATGCTACATGCAAGGAAGCTCATCCTATGGACTTGGAAGCTGAGTGAAGGAAATAAATCAAAGACACAGAAAAGTCTTCCATCTCTTTGCTGTTTGAACTCTCACAGGCCAGAGACACCAAACTGAAGTTAGAGATCTCCCAGGGCCATGCCTGGGTCCGCCCTGAAAGAATCTTGAATTCACAGTTGATTACTACAACTGTCACTCTCAGGATTTAGATTCCAACTCATTTGTGTGTATATGTTTGTTTCCATTAACCTGTAAATAACTCTCTTCTTTCTTTTTCCTAGTTAATAAAACTTTAGATAGTTTATTACAGAATTGGTTACAGGTGGTGTCTTTGGTGTAAGATCTAGGGTACCGGTTGATCTGGGGTATGTGACTGGTTTCTTGGGACTGGAAGCAATCTGAACATTTTGTGATTTTTGGTGTAAGTGACCATTTATCACTACACCCCGCTTGCCAGGGTGGCAAGACAGACTGGAGAGTCTAAGGGGACTGTCTGTGACTCCATGATGAGATTGTTATAGTGACCCAAGAGTTGAAATGTGTTGTTACCGGCTTGGTGAAATCTAATTCTAGAACGTACCACCAGTTTGGGGTGTCTGCCCTCTTTTTGACAGTCTGCCCTGCAGCAGGCACTCAAGGTCATGAGCCACTACAGAGAGCCTGACGAATGGCAAAACTCCCATTGACTTAACGGGGAAGATCAAACCACAAAAGACGTGTCAGGCTCACCAGCCACTAGTGTTTGTGGAAGAAGCACACGTTTAAGAGAAAACTGGAACATGTGATCATCAAGGCTTCTTTAAACACTCCAGAGCAACATCCTTGAACCTCCTTTTCAGCTGCACTGATTTCACTAAATAATTTGTAGGCATGCCCATTAACTGTCCTTTGATACTAGCTAAATAATTTGCATACAGACTCACTTGCTCTCCTTTGATCCAGCCTCTCTATGAAGATGCTGTTTAGTCTCAGATTTATTTATTACACATTATTTAACATGCATTCAGCATGTCTGAAAAGCTAATAGAGACAGGGCCCTTGTAATCAAAATATTCCAAAGGAAATAAAAAGCATTTTGCCTGAAATGACTGGATACATTACTTTATGGAGGCTTAGAGAGATAAGGTGGGTGACATAATATATTTTATTGGACCAATTTCTGTTGGTGAAAGAGACAACAAAAGTTGGTCCAATAAAAGTTATGACTTCACCCACTTTGTCTCTCTAATATCCTGGGACCGTTACAGCTACAACTGCACTACATACAATTTATGGAGGCTTGTTAGTAATAATAACCATTAATCAATTATCATCATGAATGCATTTTTATTTTTGCACTGTTCAACTCCAAAAGCCTCTAACTCCACTCAAGATTACAAAAAAGCAAAGTAACAAAACCCAGGTGTTTTTAAACCAGTACCATGGACCAGTTCCAAACAAGCTCCAATAACAACCGCTAATACAAACTAAAATCAGTCTCCAGCACCTCTCAAACTTCATACCTAGTGATAGGAGAGTATTCCAAATACCTGACTCCCATCTTGAGATTGATTACACCAAAGCACTGTCAGCAGAGAACCACAGAGAATTCCTGTGCCCATTTGTGTACTCAGTGCCTAATTCCTACTGGAAGTTAAGGGAACTGGGTGCCTCATTCTCTTTGTATCTTTGAAAACCTTCCCCTTCTTATTTTTCCCTATTATCTGTGCCAGCCCTTTCACTAAGAATAGCGGGGGCAGGGTTGGTGTGTAAATAGAATCTTGATTTATCACCCAAAGTGGCTGTCTTCTGCCTTTGCATTTCTGGTCAGAGTCCTACTCCAGTCCACGCTCATCCTCAGTACAGAAGCATATGTATGAAAGAAGCCATGGCATCATCATTTCAGCTGTTCTTTCACCCAGTGACTATCGGACCAGCTTGACTCTTCTAACTCCAATTTTAGGGACAAAATTATGTTTTCTCTTCTCACTTAAGTCCTGAGGAGCCCTCCTTACAGTTTTATCATTTGGAATTCAGCAAGAGATTAAAATATTTTTAATATCCTATTAAAATCCAAGTAGGTGAAAGACAAATATCTCTAACCTCCTCCTCTTGGCAGGGATGACATGGAGCAGCTTGTTCACAGGGAAAAAGGATAGTGGGGGGAGAGAGAGAGATCCATTACTATAGAAACCTATATTAATAATCACCGTCTGGATCTGCTACTGCAAATAGCTACTTGAAGCTGTGCTGTAAAGGGAATTGGGAGGATTGTCTTACAAAGGAATATTAAAAGAACTAAACAAGAAGCAATAACTAAAGGAGAGATATAACAATTGTCTGTGAGCATCGGACAGGTGAAAATGTCCAGGAGAGAGCATAAGTGTTCAGGGTGGAACAAGCCTGTGATTAATGGAGTGAAATTAAGCAAAGGAAAATTTAGGCTGAATATCAGGAGAGCTATTAGGTTGTGGAGTGAGCTCCCCAAGGGAAGTTTGGAGACCCCAGACAAGGGCGATATAAGCAGGGAGACAGACAGACAGACGGTTGTCCTTCAGGCTGAACATCTGAAATGAGACGAGGCAAAACACTGGTGATTATGTACTAGGGAACAATGCTGCTTTGGCTAAAGGGAGATGGACCAGGTGACCACCTACCGTAGGTCTTTTCCAGCTCTAACTGCTATGAATCTGTGATATGAGAAAAGACTTACAGAAATCTGTGGTCCTCGGAGGCAGGCCAGCCAGGCTCTCACAAAGGACATGTTTGTCCCTCTGAGGTTTCAGGACGGTCTTCATTCTCATTCGTTTCCTTCAGGAGCACGTATCACTGATCCACACAAATTCTTTTTACTCCTTCAGACAGCCAGGTCTGATCAGCTGCTATATCCACAATCCAGCATTCAAGGTGCACTTCACTGCGGAAGAATAGCCTATACGCTATTTTTTTCCTTAAGGCCCACAATAGCGATTGAACTGGCTAAAAACGTATGTAAGGCACCTTAATGGTGAAAGTGTTGAGATCAGCAATATAAAGAGAGATTCATTCTAGCAGGGTTTCATTTTTCCCCACTCACTACCACAACAAACTGCCACTAAAATGACCTTCCAGTCTCCTTAGAACAGAATAAGTTCCCCTCAAGATGCTGCGTGTTAGCTTCATGCGTATTTTTTTTACTCTGTTTAATCTCACTATCACCCCAAAGAGAACTGCAGACTGATTACAGTGTTAGTAATGGCTTTGTCTCACGCTGACCTGAGACTGAAGACTTGTAAGTGGAATTAGAATTTGAAAGGAGTTAAAATGGATTAGAGCCCAAGCAGGGAAATCTACTACCCACACGAGCAAATCAAAATAGACAACTATGGGATGTCAAAGCAGCAGAAATACAGAGCTAGAGAATGGCCAGAAGCACTGGCCTGGCCTGGTCCGGCAACCAGCTGTGTTGGGGAGAAAATTAGGGATATTGTGCTGGGTAGAAATGCATCGATACATATCCTGCACACAGAAAAGCACCTCACTTGGATGACTGCCAAGATCTAGGCTAAAGAGTGTAATCAGAACTGTGTTTCCTACTTCCTATTCATACATGGCCCCCATGCAAAGAAACCTGTAGCCATTCTCCTGGCTGGGAATGGCTGAGAGAGTTGGACACAGAGGGCCAGAAAGGCAGGGAAATGTGTGATAACACGGACTGAATATTAAACTGCTGTCTTCTGATTTTCTCCTTTGCTTCCTCATCATTTCAGGATCCCTGGGCTTAGCAAGGTAAAAGATTTTAAGGTATTATGCCTCCTGCTGCGGCACCAACAGGAGCTGGGGCCTGGGGTAGAAATCTGGGGGAGGGATATTACATCCCATTAGGAACCACACAGCATGACTTTCTTCTGTTTTATGTGCCAATGTGGGCTGAATATCAGGAGAAACTGCCCAATGGTGACATCCAGAGGGGCATGACATAGTCTCCCAAGGGAACTGGTGAGAGCCCCATTACT